TGATTCTAACGTCAATGTCTTGCCATGGCCTTCCCGATCACCAGATCTAAACCCGTTAGAACACCTATGGGATGAACTCGATAACACTTTAAGTGTACGTCCACGACAAAACACGCCTCAGACACTTCCACAACTGACTATCGCATTGCAGGAAGAGTGGGGAAGAAATCCGCAAGAGCGACAGACTTATCCAGTCTGTGTCGAGACGGTGCCGAGCAGTAATTGCTGCCAATGGTGGCCATACAGAGTACTGACTTTGACGCCATCTTGTCGAATCAAATAAACAGAATAAAGGCTGTTGTTGTGTTAACGAACTCTTTGTCTATGACGTGTGAATTGTCACCTTTTTACCATTGAAATTACATGAAATAATTGCTCTTAAACTAACGCAATAAATTCTTCTAAAAATTTCGTATGCGTTTCTTTTTTGCAGAGTGTACTACTAAGAACTGTAGAGTTCGCCTGTGGGAAAACAAGACATAAGAATTTAATATACCTTTATTCTCTCTCTGTATATCAATACACCTGTTTCTGTATATCTCTGCGGGGGACAATACAGACTCAGAACTGACAGCTGATTAAGACTCCAACCGCCGCTAACACCCGCCATCCGGCGAGAGAATGGGTTTACTTGCTTAACTCAGCTGAAGGTGACTTCCTTGTGTGGTTGACAGGAGGTCGCGGCACTCCTGTTTACTATTTCATTCCGAGGACAAGGTACATATAACAATAAAACTGTCCACACGTGTATAAATTACGATGTCTCTCAACAACTGTATTTTTTCAGTACCGACAAATGTATGGACAACAATATAAGTTGAAGCATTGTGATTCGGGGTATACCTGGTTTTATGCGTCCCGAGGTGGATAATACCTGACGAGGGACGCATAAAACCCCGTATACCCCGAATCATCATGCTACAACGAGTTTATCTTACCGAATGTTTTTTTCAGTACTGACAAATGTATGGAAACAACTTTTTTTAATCGGTACAAGAATCAGTATTGAAATGTCGCACTCACAAAATGAATGAAGTTGTTATCGAAACATGTGTCAGTATAATGTACTTCCCAACTTCTAAAATGCCACTCAAAGAAACTTTTTCTTGTTCCGCACCTTTAGGAGAACATTGTATTGTATACCTCAGGTAACATCATCTGGATCATTTGTCTGGTACAATTTTGGAGAATATTGTATTGTACAGGTTAGAAAACATTATCAGCTGCATGTTAGAGAACAAGTCTGGTGCAAGATAGGAAACATTATCAGCTGCATGTTAGGGAACAAGTCTGGTGCAAGATAGGAACCATTATCAGCTGCATGTTAGAGAACAAGTCTGGTGCAAGATAGGAAACATTATCAGCTGCATGTTAGAGAACAAGTCTGGTGCAAGATAGGAAACATTATCAGCTGCATGTTAGAGAACAAGTCTGGTGCAAGATAGGAAACATTATCAGCTGCATGTTAGAGAACAAGTCTGGTGCAAGATAGGAAACATTATCAGCTGCATGTTAGAGAACAAGTCTGGTGCAAGATAGGAAACATTATCAGCTGCATGTCTGGTGCAAGATAGGAACAATCAGCTGCATGTTAGAGAACAAGTCTGGTGCAAGATAGGAAACATTATCAGCTGCATGTTAGAGAACAAGTCTGGTGCAAGATAGGAAACATTATCAGCTGCATGTTAGAGAACAAGTCTGGTGCAAGATAGGAAACATTATCAGCTGCATGTTAGAGAACAAGTCTGGTGCAAGATAGGAAACATTATCAGCTGCATGTTAGAGAACAAGTCTGGTGCAAGATAGGAAACATTATCAGCTGCATGTTAGAGAACATCTGGTGCAAGATCATTATCAGCTGCATGTTAGAGAACAAGTCTGGTGCAAGATAGGAAACATTATCAGCTGCATGTTAGAGAACAAGTCTGGTGCAAGATAGGAAACATTATCAGCTGCATGTTAGAGAACAAGTCTGGTGCAAGATAGGAAACATTATCAGCTGCATGTTAGAGAACAAGTCTGGTGCAAGATAGGAAACATTATCAGCTGCATGTTAGAGAACAAGTCTGGTGCAAGATAGGAAACATTATCAGCTGCATGTTAGAGAACAAGTCTGGTGCAAGATAGGAAACATTATCAGCTGCATGTTAGAGGAACAAGTCTGGTGCAAGATCATTATCAGCTGCATGTTAGAACAAGTCTGGTGCAAGATAGGAAACATTATCAGCTGCATGTTAGAGAACAAGTCTGGTGCAAGATAGGAAACATTATCAGCTGCATGTTAGAGAACAAGTCTGGTGCAAGATAGGAAACATTATCAGCTGCATGTTAGAGAACAAGTCTGGTGCAAGATAGGAAACATTATCAGCTGCATGTTAGAGAACAAGTCTGGTGCAAGATAGGAAACATTATCCGGTGCACCTAATAATATTTAAGCATTAAATGACTGTTTTCTTTTATATTTTAACCAGTGTTAGCATTTTAGATATATATTACGGCGGTATGTTCATGATGGAGTCTAAAGAAAACAGCTTGTGTTGACAGCTGGGAATATCTGTAGTAATTGGTTCAGAGGATGTGAAGTTTCTAGTTATCATTGTTTGGTGGCATTGTCAGGTCACCCACATTGCCAAATGGACAGCAGTTGCAATGAAACTTTGTTCACACTCAGACAGGCTTCATGTATAAAGACAGAACTATCCAGCACATACCCAGTACTTGTCTTCTTTCGCAAGGATACAAATGTCTCTGTTCGGTAGTAGTCGTAGTCGTAGTAGTAGAAGTTGAGTATCTTTGTTAAAGACATCTATTGCCAACAGTTGAATTCTTTACAGTCTAACTGACGTGCTTGTCCAGGTGTTCTTGAGCCAGGTGGCTAGTTAATTGTTCTCGGGCCTGGGTGCAACTGTGTGTCTATAGGTTCTGTTATAGTATGGGCGTGGCGTGGCGTGGCGTTAGTGTGTGACAGTGCGCGTGGTTGTGTCCATTTGTTGTTATCCACTTAAACAACACGCGCAGTGTAACAGATAGATAGGTAGATATTCTTTATTTCATCCAATTGAATGAAGATTACAATGAGCAGTGATAATATATTTTACGTCAAATGATTAAGTTGGATTAGTGATATAGTCACAAATGTTCAAATACATACAAGTGTTTTAGAAAATATCGCCATTTCCTTATAAAATGGCTAACATTAACTATCACTTTTGCCCATACATGTCTTTCTAGTTCCATGATACACTCTATTGGACATCCTCAAAGTAAAATTGCAAGAATAACATCATCATCTTGATCCCAGATCTTAACAAGAGTTTCTACATCTAGAATATCACATATGGAGTTTAAAAAGTTCATTTCTGTCATTCATATAATTCGTACATGACATAAACACGTGCTTTACAATATCATTGGCGACAGTTTTACAATAACATTCTCTTGAAACAATTTCTGCTGATCCATAGAATACAAGTCTTGCAATATCAGTTAACTGGTCGTTCTTCTCTGCAGCTAGCATCCAGAGATAGTGTTCATTACTGGATCTTATATTGATATATCTTGACAGACTAAATCTTGAATTAAGATGAACATAAAATAGATTGTCTCGATGAGATTTAAGGCGAACTAGAAACATTGCAGTAAAAACGTTATACTTTGCATTACATAACCTTCCTAATAGGTAGGGGGCTGTTGTATCTATGTAATACTGTAGTGGCATGACACCGATACAATCCAATGCAACAATACTTGGAGTGCGCTTGTGTAGTCCCTGAACATTTTTACAAAATTGTCGTTGTACAACTTCAAGCATTTCATACACTTTAAGAGGAAGTTTACCCCATACGTGACATCGATAGAGATTCGTTTAAATCAGGGAAATTTACACGGTTTAAAGAATATAGAGAGTATTACAATTTTAGGGCAATCTACATAATAGATAATATACAAGTGCTTGATCACGTTTACAAGCCAAATCAAATAATAACTCTAGCGATAAGAGGCTTTAATTGTTGTAAACGTCGTAGAGGAGCGGAGGAGGAGAACACCAGTGAGCATGTTCAGTTTTAAGTCACCTGTTACTCTGTCATACACCCCCCGTATCTACATAGCCAATGCTGCCCATGCAAGTCTAGAACAAGTGGCAAGTCTAGATTATTTCATGTTTATAATTTAGGAATTTAGGGAGTGTTTGTTTAGGTAAAATGTGTTCATTTCAGAGTCTAGATGTTATTTAGTTACCTGCTTGTAGGGGCCATTATCATGCACTAAGTTATGCACTGATACATTGTTAGAACAATGATAGAAAATGTTGATGTAAGCAAATTTCTATTCTTCCTTCTGGAGTTTAGGTGTATTCGCTTCTTTGCAGCTGCTGGCACGGGCGGCGTATCTTATATATACTTGCAAAGTACCTCTCTGAATCATATCGATCTATCGACACATCTATACATTCGCACATTCTACCCCTACATATAATTAAATGTCGGTTATCATAAAAATTTAGATTGAGATAAACACATTGCAGCATGGGGTGGCCACGTTGGGGGGCTGAGCCAATGCTACGACTGCATTCTGATTGGTCAATTCTGTCTGTTGCTATAGTGATTAATGCCACAGAAAATGCTGATGTCAAAGAAATGAACATGTTTATATAAGTATATTGTGTTGTTCATCATAATATCCATGAATGATAATTATCAGACAAAGTTCCATCCTTCACCAAGTGAGTGGAAACACTTTTTCACAATTCCTAGCCTCGGTGAGCTAGACCACCCGATCCATTTGCTCGCCTCTAATTTTACAGTACGACGTCACAGAACTGGAATATTGCTTAGATCGGCGTTACAGAACACAATCAAACAAAAAAATATCTGATTGCATTCTAGTATGCAGTGGGAAAACCCTGCCTATTACCGTGGCAGTAAGATAACTGAGGCGCTGAGCTTGAGGGCAGGGGTATTAGGCTACCAAACAGTGTACACATGATATACGAACCTTCGAGTCAGTAATCAATACCTCTACCTTAGTTAAGATTGAATAAGTTTACTGCGTAACGTGTGTTGTTCCTGATCAAGGTTTAGTTCATGGACATTTCTGAGGAAAAGTTTCTTTTCGTCGTCATATATTACAGGTAAGCGCACACAGGTTTTGAGTTTTAAATTGTTTTACGTGACATTCTCGCTTTGACGTTTGGTCCGTGTTGTTGAGAAACGGCTATCGGTAGCCTGAGGAGTGAGTCTTATTTTCACAAAACGTTGGCCACGAGACAAGTTACTGCAGTATGTGGCTGCACACTGGTTTTGAGTTTTAAATTGTTTTACGGGACATTCTCACTTTGACGTTTCGTCCGTGTTGTTGAGATAGATAGATAGATAGATAGATAGATCGATAGATTTTTCATTGATAAGTAGTTTTACTTTTATCTATTTTGTATATCCTCAGACGGATGTTACAACATTAAGGATGGCTCGGCTGGTCACTGAGAAGGGCAAGATGAGAGAAGACGAAGAAATGAGTATCCGAGCATACACCTCGGAAATAGAAGACATTCTTGAAGCAAAGGATATTACTGGCTTACTCTTTTCCAAAGGAATACTAGACTTTCCTGATCGTCAAGAAATTGAAGCATCTCCTTCAAGAATAGAAAGAGCCAAGCGTTTCCTCAACACTATTATATTTCGAGGACCAAATGCCTTTTCTGAGTTTGTGTGTGCGTTGAAAGAAAAAGGCTACAAAGACTTGGCCGACAAACTTACCCATAAAAGAGCTACAGATGAAATTGCTATGCTGATCAGAGATGGAAGGAAGGTGGACGAACTCAACCAAGATCTCGATGACCTGAAAACACGGATGAAAAGCATGGAGATCACATTCCACAGAACAGGTGCAACTAAACGTGAGGTTGATTCACTGAAAGATGGTATAGAGAATATGGCACTAACTCTAGAAAAGATAGAAAACCTGACAAAGACGAGCGAAGAAACTGTCGCTACCATCAACTCAATGCACCGTCAGCTTAGGCAGAAGGACCAGGAACTAGCAGCTGCTCAGGTAGAGATACAGAAACTGAAGGCGGATGTTTGGAAGCTGGAAAAGGAAAATTCATCATTGAGGGGAGAACTGAAGAAACAAAAGGGGATGGTCGAAAACTTGAATGAGGAGATGGACATAGTGAAAGAGAAGAACACAGCCTTAGAGAAGAAGGTTGATGAAAGTCAAGCAAATATCACAGAGATTCTGCGAGAACAGAAGAAAGAAATGAGTGAAATGAAAAAAACTATCCAGGACATAACAGCTCATAATAAACCACTGGCTGTTAAGCCTGTCAAACTTAATCCCAGAGGTATCATTCACAGGAATAGGTTTCAGAAGAAATAATAGTGGCTGTGTGTGTGTGTGTGTGTTGGGGGCAACCGGAAAAAGATGTCTATGACCTTGGGTGTGGCGCTGACAAACTTAGATACATGATCTGGGTTGGGTTATCGTAAATTTGAACCCACGATGAAAGATTTCTAGCACTCTAACGGGGCCTAACAGTGATTGTGGGTTCCTTAGACGACTGGGCGGCCCGTCCTGAACTTGACAGAGGAACTGACTGGCCCTTTGATGACAACTGACAATATTGGAACCGAACAATACGCTGATATTTCCAATATCTTTCATAAGCCATGTTATAACCGTGTAAGTATTACTAAAATCAGGCACCAGCCATTTCAAGCAAATGGTTATTTGAGACAGTGATTACTGTGATAAGAACACTTGTTTGTTTTACATTTGTTATGGTGTGGCTTGGATACCCTGGAATGTATATCCTCGGGGGAGGTGACAAACCGTAAATTAATTTTAGACGGACGGTTCTCTTCCTTTGACTGAATTCAATTTTTCCTTTCAATTCAATATTTAAAATTTACAACGGCGGTGCTGATGATTCTGGAGTGAGCAACAATGTCAATGACATTAGTAATACTTTGGCAGCTTAAGAGCCCACTGGAGTGTTTCGGGACGCCGATACACATGTGTTTCTGTTGTGTACATTGCATTTTGTACCTGTGGGAACAAGATAACAGCCTGATTGTCCCACACGTTTCATAGAGTATGAATTTGAAGAATTGTTGTATGGCAGTTTGTGTGATACCTTATACTGGTTGGACATCAAATACTGCACATGACCAACGCATTGGGTGGTTTTGATAACATGTTGTCAAGGACAGCATGTTATTGACAGGAACTGTTGTAATATAAACCTTTGTCATTATCTAAAGTGTGTTAATTTACTTTGAGTGTCTTTTTCATTTTGCATTTGTTTTGCATGAATCTGAAACGTGTTGTAATATGCCCAATTAGGGCATTGAGCATAGTAAATTGTATTTAGTTCTCAGTGAGTTATCTTAAGACCCCAGGTAGAGATCCGGGTTAGAATTGGTCTTCAGTAACCCATGCTTGTCATAAAAGGTGGTTAAAATTGTTCGAGTGGTCAGGCTCGCTGACTTGGTTGACACATGTCATCAGTTCCCAATTGCGTAGATCGAGGCTCATGCTGTTGATCACTGGATTGTCTGGTCCAGACTCGATTATTTACAGACCGCCGCCGTATAGCTGGAATATTGCTGAGTGCGGCGTAAAACTAAACTCACTCTCTTAAGACCAGTTTAAAGTTATCACTGTTGGCAACAACAGTATCTGTGTTTATGCTTATACATAGACCTGACGTTGGTTAACCCATAGCCAAGAATGAATTATCATTATCAAGCAACTATACACACCAACAGGGTCATTCATAATACACTATAGATAACCCTGTTGTCAACCTGTGTTATGTTAGCATAATAAAACCGATCAATTTTAAAGATAAAATGTGTTGTCTTTCTATTTAAAGTACGTTTAGTATCCCAATACACTATTCCAAATTGGACCTGTATTTTTTATGTCACTGTGTATATTCAATGTTGTGAAGCAAAATGTAAACACTAAAAAGTAAAAAAACGACACCAAAAAGTAAAGTCCTTCATTTGACCTTAATCTTGTCTAATATATTTAACATGCATTTATCAAGATCAGCACTGCTGTTGAAATCGTATTGTGCAAAACGGTGCCTTGAACATAGAACATCAATCGACTTTAACGTTTAAGTTATCACATTATATATCAAAATGATCGCATCCTATGTGAGTACAAATACATATGATCGACGTGTTCTATTCAGTGGCAATCTATCAACTAGAACCACCAGTTGGGTATAAGTTTATATAAGTTTCGATATAATTTTCATATTTCATGATCATACGAAATATCTTCTGAAACCAGAGTACGATTCCGACATTAGCATACATTGGTTCATCACTGTCATTAAATGATGATACCAGCCCCGTCCGCCCCACACCTGTCCGCCCCACACCTGGTAGCCGTCACAAACACGCTCAAAGCTTATTCAAGTGAACACACATGGAGATATATGATGATGTCAACATAAACAACGGAATCATTCACCACTGTAACCATATAGGTAGTGTACTGGTTGTCACGTGGTCACACAAGCTCCTCCCCATGTACAAGTACGACCACTGCAGGTTAAAGGTAAAACATGCGTCATATTCAAGAAATGTTCACAGATCAATGTCTTGCTACTCTAGTAGCTGTTTTCACGAGTGAGGGTCGCCACGAGGGGCTATAAACTGGTGTATCTTTTTCCAGTCATATCCAGTGGTTCTAGAAATGTGATATAATGTGTAATATAATCTGCGGATTATTCAACCATGTCTTCTACGACGAGTGAAAAAATCGGCGACATCTCTATCGTGACAGAACTACACAACATGGCCTCTATCACGTATGATTTCTTTGGATTTATAAAGCAAATTGTTTATGTAGGGGTTTTCCTTGCATTTGCAAACCTAGATATATCATGGCTACATGTACGTGTTCTGCTCATTTGCTTTTCAACCTTTGGCCGCCTAATTGACCTAGTGGCTAGACAGTCTACATCGAACGGCGATCTGCGGCGCGACACACTGTCATTGTCATATTATCAGTGGGATATGTGATTACCCCTCTCTTACACGCACGCACAAATACGCGGGTATTGGAATCAAGAGTATCAATCAGCGCTTGCACTGGCAAATAAAGAATATATGGACTCTTATGGGAGACTGAGCGTAGGGACAACCTATCACTGTAGTATGTGAAGTGGTGAGGTAGTCTAGTGGTCAAACGTTCGCTCGTCACGCCGAAGACCGGGCTCGATTCCCCACATGGGTAGAATGTGTGAAGCCCATTTCTGGTGTCCCCCGCCGTGATATTGCTGGAATATTGCTAAAAGCGGCGTAAAATCATACTCACTCACTGTAGTATGCGCGTTGGATTCCTGAAAACATGCATATTTAGGTAAAAACTGTAATTTCAATTACCTTATCAACATAGAACAAACCTTTTCTTGATGGTTTCAATTTTAGGCTCCACCTAACATAGGCGTATCCTATATCTACCTCGGAAGTTTAATACATGTATTACAAAAAGTGTGTTGTACCTAAGAACACAGTGTAATATCCATACACAAATTCCTAAAATTCTGGAGGTGAGAAATTCATCATATTGTACTGCTGTCGTAGGTGAGGTGAGATAAAAAAGGGTTTAACGTCGCTTTTTTAGATTACAGCAACAGGCATGCATGTATATATGTGGCTACTTGAACTTGTAGTCCTTGTTTTACCACCTGTGTTCAGAGCGCCAGGCAAAGTAACAATAAGTACCATCTCTTTACGTCTGTCTTTGCAGGATCAAGCCGGACCCTATTGGTGACGAATTTCATGCATTATTGTCATGCCAATATTTTAAAGCTATATGGCGGCTTTAAAGAAATAGGAAGAATATATACTGAGTCAAAAAAGAAACTTCACAAAATGTAATTTGAAAAATAATGAATAATTTTTCGCTGATGATACATCTATGTATCCCTATCTTTCGACTCTAGAAAAACGTGAGCAAAACCCACTCAAACCCATCCATTCGTCGTGCAAATGACGTTAGTGCCAAATCAGGTTTTGCACGTGCAGTCGATCACGTGATCTTCGCATCGAAGTTTTCTTCATATGCACGTGTTTGCATTGGCCTCAAGAATTGAAAAAACACTTTTAAACCACAGTTCTAACGGTACTTGAAATGCCACGATTGTCAAATGTGCAACGTGAACGTGCCGTTGGCATGTTGCAAGCGTGAAGATCAGTTATTGACGTCGCAAGAGCAATGGGATGCAGCCGTCGTACTGTGTATGACTTGCGAGGTCGTCTACAACAAACTGGCACCACCTCTGATCGCCCAAGGTCGGGTCGTCCACGTGTGACGTCACGAGCAGAAGACCGTCAAATCGTCCTACGTCACCTACTTGACAGATTTCTGCCGGCTACACGAACCAGGGCTGAGATGTTTAGAGGTCGACTGTCCTCACAGACCATTCGAAATCGGTTGCGGGCTGCCAATCTCCATTCTCGACGTCCATATCGTGGGCCAATATTGACGCCGTTTCATCAACGTCAACGTCTGCTGTGGGCCCAACGTCATCTCCGATGGACCCAGAGAGACTGGAATCGAGTCGTCTTTAGCGATGAATCCAGGTTTACCCTCAGATTCGCGGACGGCAGGCATAGAGTCTGGAGACGACGTCGTGAACGGTATGCCCAATGTTGTGTACAGGAAGTCGAAAGATTCGGGGGCGGAAGTTGCACGGTGTGGGGTGCTTTCTGTGGGAACAACCGTTCCCGACTTCTGGTCATCCGTGGAAACCTCACAGCTGCTGCTTACCGCGACCAGGTGCTCACCCCTGAACTCGTTCCTTTCATGGCGGCTCATGGCCCAGGTCTACAGTTCAGCATGATAATGCTCGGCCGCATACCGCGATGTTGACACGAAATTTCCTTCAAAACGCTGGAATCAACGTCATGGACTGGCCATCGAGGTCCCCTGACCTTAATCCAATAGAGCACGTTTGGGATGCACTTGGGAGAAGGCTTCGTGGTCTTAGGAACCAACCTCAGAATTTGCAGGAACTTGGCGCTGCCTTGCAAGAGCAATGGCGCAGAATCCCGAACCACGTGTTCACAAGCATCAGGCAGTCGATGAGGAGACGGTGTTTGGCAGTGGTGAATGCGCGGGGCGGCCATACACGATATTGAACTGAGAAATTTCGCATTTTTATTCTTGTGACTTGACATTCTGTATACCCATGTTTTGGAACGGCGGTGTAGCCTAATGGAACTGATTATGGCACTGTCAGTGTATCGAGTACATCACACAGATCTCAGCAATGAAATAATAACAATTTAACCATCTTATCATCTCTTGTTCTTTTATAGTGCCCTGAAGAAAGAAGGTGAAGTTTCTTTTTTGACTCAGTATATATATGACAACATTCAGAACTTTAGATTTCTTAACATATGTAGAGAGTTTGAAGTGTTTATTGACACATAGTTAATTACCCATCTTAATTAGATAATCATCGTTAATGTAAGGAGAGATATGTTATTGACGAAACTAAAACTTTCTGTTGAAATATGCTTGAAACGAAAGTGCAAACCGCCTTGACAATAACTGAATCTAACTGGTTGCCCAGCTCCCCTGTAGGGGAATCACTAGGCTTGTGTTGAAGACGGAAATAACCACGACGCTCTGTGGATTGCTTTGGGTTTTACTGTCATCGGGAGCCAGGTAACAGGTCTGACTTGAACATTGTAAATTAGATTGTAATACAAGAAGCTGTACAGAAGTCAGATTTGTTATACAAACTGAATAGGTTGGAGGTGTTAGTTGGCTCATTTCGTGCTCATTCTGCATACAGAGATTTCACGTTATCAGGTAAGTTAGAATTGATCATGAAACTGAATAACACCTATACCTATTGTAGTATTTTGATTTGATTATTGTGCTGCTATTGGAATCAGACGTGGGCTATTAAAATTTATATCATTTTGAGGTATCTACTAATTTTGAAGCATTTGGTGGCAACAATAATGTGAGTTACTGAATTGTTACAAAACTATTTTACACAGCTTAAAGTTCGATCGAAAGTGACATTAAGTACATTGTATGGTGTCTATAGAACAAAAGAGTAATACGGTGTTTAAAGGATTGACTGAGACTTCTAATCAACCCGAGACCACCAGCTCCCTTGAATAGGGAGCATTATGACTGTGATGAATATCATAAACTATCTAGGGTGTCACTCCCAGTTGTAGCCTAGCCGTATCTTCCTGTTGTAGCCGCTCCCGTATCTCCCAGTTGTAGTCTAGCCGTATCTCCCAGTTGTAGTCTCTTCCGTATCTCCCAGTTGTAGTCTAGCCGTATCTCCCACTTCTAACCTAGCCGTATCTTCCTGTTGTAGCCCCTCCCGTATCTCCCAGTTTTAGTCTAGCCGTATCTCCCAGTTGTAGCCTAGAATAACTGAAGCCTAGAAACTTTCCCTTAATGCCGAGTAATATTCCAACAGCTCCTGCATTTGGTGTTTACATTTCACAACTACTGAGGGACATTAAAGTAACGCCTTTTCTACCAACATTTGGATGATCGCCATACGATTCGTGCTCAGTAATTGTTTGATCAACGACAAGGTTACAACATTCAAGGCTCCGGCGAAGGTTTCAAGAGGCTTTTGTAGGCATGCGGAGGGAATTTCAAAATGTGGGCATCAGTGACAAACTTGATCTTCCCAATTTCCTTCAGATGAACAATTGACTTGCCTCTGCATGTGTCTATGAGGGGTACCGCCGGTGGTGCAGGATAGGCTCACCTTCATGCGAACACCTGGTATCAGCACTATTTTGATAGCGATTCATAAATACATACTCATGATATAGTCGGAATTGTACAATCGAGATTGCTTATGGACGTGGAAATGTTTTTGTCGTTGTCGTTTGTCATGTTCAAGAATATTGACGTGCCTTTGCATGAGTTTGTAACGGGTGCCCTTATGCTCACCTTTTGGCGATGACATGGTTTCATCACTTTTTGATAGTGATTTAGAATATAAAATTCACCATTTTGTCGGAATAGCCTCTGCTGTTAGCAAATTATTTCTCATGAATATGAAAATGGTTTTGCCGCTTTTATAAATAATTATCACATACGATTTAGATAACGTTTGAGTTTGAGTCTACAACAACATAAAACTGCATAAAACCTGTTGCACTTAATGACTTTCTCTTTGGCACTAGCCATCGGAGACGTACATCATGACACAACCAGACAAGGGAAAGATGAAACCAGCTGATGAGAAAAGTATCAAAGTGTACGTTATGGAGATCGAGGATGTGGTGGAAGCAAGAGAGCTAACAGCCAAACTGTTATCTGAAGACATAATAGATCGAGAGGATAGAGAAAAGATTGATGCTGGGGAAACAAGGAAGGAGAGGACGAGGAGACTCATGGACATCATTGCCATGAGAGGAGAAAGGTCATTTCCCGTCTTTGTAAAAGCATTGCAGTCAAGAGGATACAGGGATCTAGCGATGAGGTTGCTTGAAACAAGATGCAGTTATCAAGATATGGATACAGAAGAACCGAAAGAGGATTTGTCCAAACAAATGGAATTACTTATACAGAGAATCAATACGATTGAGAGTGAAGTGAAGATGAAAATGGTTACCAAGAAGGAGACTGTAAGTCTCTCTATCGAAATAAAATCCCTTTCGTTGAAAGTGCAAACAATCTCGTGTACGCTACTTCAGATTGAAGAACTGTCTAGATTAAGCAAGGCAACAGAAGTTACAATATCAGAGCTGAAAGACCAGTTACGGGCAAAGGATAAACTATTAGAACTTGCAAGGGGGCAGATTTATGAGCTGGAGAGTAAACTGGAAAATCTAGAAGCTGAGAATGCCCTGCTGCGATCTGATGTGAAGCGACAAGACAAACAACTCCGTACTCTTCGACGGGCAATCGAGGACGAGAAGCTACGCAATGAGAAACTTCGGAGACAAGCGGAAGAGGATAGAATGAGGAATGAGACGACGTTTCACAATCATGAGAGGTTGTTTGAAGAGATGGCGAAGCAGCAGGATCGCATCATCAAAGAGCGGGAGGAGGACAAGGCACAGATGCAGGCCCTGGAGCGGAAGCTGGATCAACAGAGGAAGCTGAAGAAGAATGTTGGGAAACGGAACATCGTTCCAAGGAACAGAATGGAGGAGAACAGGAAATAGAGATTTGGTACCTGCAGTGATGGGTTAAGTGATGGCTTGTGTTTGACAATATGGCATTCCACGGAACAGGATGTATGTTTTATTGCCATGAAAAGGATGTACATGCAGTGTGCTTACTAGTAGCAATGTCATTTCAAGTAATTTAATTTAATGCATTTTTGGGGGGCCACGAAACGGACGTACATATTTACAATTAGTAATTTCAATTAATGTCAGTTGTGTTTGATGCAAAATATGGCATATGGCTCGCTTTGTGCTGTACTGCATGCTGTGTTGTTTGAACCATACTTAGCTTTCCCGAGCCTTGACTCCTGGGGTATATTTAGTTCTGATGTGACGTGATACGTCAAACATACATGGTTGCTTTCTGCTGTGGAATTTAGTATTATATGTTGTCCGAAACAGTTATCGTCATAGCCGACTTTATCATTTGTGCGTTGTCATTGTTTGAATAAGATCAGCATAGTATAAGACTTATGATATCCATCAAACGATCCTTTTGGTCTTATCGTAAATGTCAAAACTCGGTGCTGGCGCACGAATACATAAAAACCACAAAGATGGCGGACCGAGAGAAAGGGAAGAGCATGATTGAGCAAAGAAAATCAATTATTTACCTTGTCAATAAGCATAAATACAGGTAATGACCACCGCAAATCGAGTGAAATACAGTCACCTGTACATTAAAATGTCAGTTCTGAACGCTGCCTAACTCAAGGGTCTGGACCAGAGGTAGTCTCGCACGAAGTGAGGCGTGGACTCCACAGACAGTCAGACAGTCAGACTGACAGGCAATCAGTCACAGTCGCACTTACTCAGTGCAGGTGCACTGAATGACTTTGCGATCAATGCGAGTTTTACTTCGCTTGAGGTTGGTCATCCGATGCCCAGACTTGCTGACCAAATGCATATGTTTACATTGCCAATATATTGTGTTGCGTAACAAGATACTAGTCATAACACTTCAGCAATGAAGCAGTTCCGGCGTTGGGCTTTTCATAAAACCCTGGTGTCATCACTGGTTCTCAGTGGTCCATTTATATATTTTTAACTACTACTTTGCCTTTTTACGTCCTATGGAATCCGTGCGAGCAAATAACCGAGACTGGCTATTCTTTGGCTTCGAAATTTTCTTTACCCTATACCGATAGGTAGCTTCATGAACACTAAGCAATCCTGTCGAACACTCACGGAGATTTGACGCGTCCATTTACACATGTATTAAAATAAAACCAGTATTCTCCCTTTTATGTTATGCTTTCTACTTGCACCAATGGAAATATTTTAGGGTAGGTTTGGGAATGTTTTTTAATTCTTCTGCAACTGCATGAAATATCTAGTCTCTTGACCAGCTACTGGTATACAGTCGCACATGACTCATTCAAACAGCCATAATTATGTTCTGTTGCCCATTTTCATTCTAGTTTTGACGTTTCTGTTTGGTGCTCCTTGTAGTTACTATGGAACCTGTATAGCGTGTAAGGTCCCGGGTAACCAATGCTTGCCTAGATACAACTAAAATAACTACAATGTATCACTTTCTTCATAACGGTTTTAGAACCTACATCGAAACGTCACACCCACTGTAATAAAGAGGTTGTTTATCCATAGATTGTGATCTTTCCTAAATAAAATTCAGTTGAAAACAATGTTAAAGCCAACTCACTCATTCCCTTGTCGAAAGGGAAAGGGGGTGTCGACATGGAATGGAGGTATCGCTTCGTTGATGGCATGCCGTCTTATGAGACACAGCTGGGACATGGCTCATATCATCCACCAGTTTGACATCGTCCACAGGTTATACAGTTGGAATTTTGTTGAGTGCAGCGTTAAATATGAAACAAAGGACAACTCCATGATAATAACGATTCTTTTGATAAAATTGCACATCTGCCAAATATAAATATAACCTTACTCGCCGGCTAATGTCCAGGTGTGCAAATCTGTCTGAGAAACAAAGACAAGCTTTTGATTTTATTTGATCTCTAAATATGCATCGAAATATGAAAAAAAATAACTAAAAAAATACTGTTATTGATCTGTACTCGAGTGAGTTTAGTTTTACGCCGCACTCGGCAATATTCCAGCTAATGGTGGCGGTCTGCAAATAATTTGGATCTGGACACGACAATCCAGGGATCAGCATGAACATCAATCTATTGGGATACGATGACATGTGTTTACCAAGTCAGCGAGCCTGACCACCCGATCCCGTTAGTCGCCCCTTACGAAAAGCATGGGTTACTGAAGATCAATTCTAACCCGCATCTTCGCGGGTGATTTGTATTTGAAGTAACATGATATGATGTAGCTAAAGTCAGTGCAGCTAAATGGAATGTGTATTAACTCAGTACACGCCCTTCTTGGTCTTGACATAAATGTGGTCAATCTTACCATCTCTGTATGCTGGGCACTACATCAATAGTATATAGCTGGAATATAGCTGGAATATTACTGACTGCGGCGTAAAACTAAACTCATTCACTCACGTACTCACTCCTAGAGGAGTCTGGGGACACGTCACTGCCGTGAAGGTGTGAGTTTTTATGCTTTATCGTATCTGGCTGCGGGTCTCACAGATGATCAATCACTGTTTTATCTTGTTAGGGCTTATGTACAAGCCGTCGTCACATAGCACATTTACTGACTGGGTGTAATGCTGGCAAAGCGGACAAAACAGGTATCAAGTTGACCCTCGATAATAAAGCTTTAATGCATGACATCAGCTCAACATGCATGCAATGGTTCAAGAGTGGACGAAGATGTATATCTAAACATATAACCGTTGTCACAGTCAGCAGGAGACGTTTAGCCAGGATCTTTTCACAGGTGAGTACCCAATACCTGTCTTATTCCCCACAAATAATCATAATCGGTGGCCTTGGTTTGGTACCTCCTGATCTCTTGGCACACTCTCTACCGGGAGTGTAGCTCTTCTGATACTCTGGGTAATGTGGAAGGCTGCAGCCTCATATTCTCCGGAAAGATCTTGGTGAGTTCGTCAATGCAGCATTTCCTCGGAGAAGTCCCATTCGCTGTCTGGGCTATATGTAGAAGGGGCAAGGGCCCTGAGCTGATGATGAGCCTTACCAGCCTGACTGTGCCAGGATCACCAGAACCTCTATGTTGCATTTTCATCTTAATCTGTAAATGATAAATAAATACATTAAAATCCTCTTGTAAATAGCGACAGTGCATTTGTCACTCCACGCGCACTCGTGAAGTGTTTATTATTGAATCCGTATTGCGACGTAAGGCAGAATGTCGTCACACTATAAAATAGAAATTATTACATTCGCCTGCATGTCATAATGATTTTAAGATTCTACCGATGGACCATCCTGATGTCAGGAACTAATCCATCGATCAATATCACCTACAATGTATTGTTACTTTGTTATACGTATTGTTCTGTATACCGAACTAAATATATAACATTCAAGGCCTCAGAATAACCAGGCTAAATATTCCTGCTTAACCAGAATCCTGTGGCCACTGATCTTGGAAAAAGGTAAATGTAGCAGCAGACAAAATAAAAAAAATTATACGACCGTGTTGTCGTGTTGTTTCTCGTGTGTGCATCGTAAGTGTTTGTGACTGCTCCCACTGTTGGGGCGGGATATATTCACCTTTTCACAAACGAATTATTCACAAAAACACGATTCCAAAATGGTCAGAAATGTGCAATGACACTTAACATATATTTATCATTGAAGTATGTTCCTTTTGTTCATATCATTAAAAAGATCCAAAGTATTCCATTTGGAATTAAAGTAAATATGACTGTTAGCCAAATTACCAAATCACTATAACTTACCAAGAAGGTATCGAAATGATTGCATTTCAGTTATCACACCTCCATCTGACTGTATCCTGTGTGATCATGTTTGAAATAAGAATCCCCCTTTCAAAGTGGGGAAGGGACTGCTTTATCTGACTGGTTTTGCTTAATAGTGGCTGCCACCAAAAAGGCTTTCTTAACCATTATCTTTTTACAAAAGTAGTATAGACTGACATCAAATTAATGTCAAGGTTTGTTTTAGACGTGGTATCACACTAAACAGATGTCTGAATCATGAGGACGTAAAATGACAAAGAATGTGTTAAAGGTTGAATTGTCAAAGATCATTTAACATGAGATTGTACTCCGAAGAAATTCGAACCTCTGCCATATGTGATTACCGTTTGAAGGGTGAAACACATTGGTTGCGTCTGTGTAGACCTTGGTGTAGGTTTTTAATCTGTTACCGTTGAGGAGACGTACAGCTGCGTGTAAGCAATCATCAGGCTTTGTGAAAATCCACTGGTTCAGAAATAAACATATCTACTTTTCTGCATTAACTTACATGATTATTTTCACAGATTGTTTCAACGAAAGTAGGACTGTATACTGTTACATATGATAAGAGTGTTTGCTTGCCTGCAAAGACGTGTAGGTCAGATTTTGTTAAAGATCGTTTCGGAAGGGAGTGTTTTGACTTACTCAGTGGTATCTAGGAAACCTTTTTTCTTGTAAGTATGTGCAGGTTGTAATAATTCTTTAAACATGTGTGGGACTTTTAATATAATGTTGAATATAACTTTACATGCCAGACAATCTTTCATAATATTTAGGAGGACTGAAATCATACGGTTGATACCGGCTGAGGATGTTCAGTTGTTACAAAAGCACAGTCAGTGTCATGAAAAATGAGCATAGGTGGACCAACACACTTGTAGTAAGTAGCCTTTACACGACGTTTGGCTTTGATATTCTCACGCACTTGCCAAAGCAGATCAGTATATTATAGCCAACAACAATCAGATTTTCAGCGGGTTAGTCCATCGGTAGAATTCATATAGAATCCCAGAAATTTTGCCAGATTATGGAACGGACGTTAGACCCAAGAGCCAAACATGGATACAAATCGTTCAACAACTTCAGTTGGTCCCCTTATGAACTAAGTAAATTCTCACAACAGATGTTGAAAGTGGAACGTTTCTGACCATGCGCAATACCTGCTAGAAGCTAAAACCTTGTCATGCACACGTCATTCCTCAACTCTCTCATGAGAAGTACCTATGGGGATCATACTGACACATCAAAGGGTCAAGAGGGCGCACACCTTACACCGATTGCAGAAAAACTGGCATAGTTTCATGTTTTCTGATGAGAACAGATTGAAAGCAGATTGTGATGAATCAGCATCAAATAATGTGACACCAGGTGTTTGCGAAGCACGCCTCAAACACATACCACACAAGTAAGATGACTTCATACTGGCACACAGGGAGGAATTGGTACCAAATGCAGAAATACATAATCACGTGAAATAGACTCGTGACGACGTCTAGTGCCGACAGACACTGTGAAGCCAGTGGAGATACAGATGGTAATGGTTGTTATCATTCCAAAGGCACCCGTGCAGGGAGACTGTGATCTCAACCATTTATCGTTTACACTGCAAAATGACAATATCGATATACCTCACACCGGTATGACTCTTTTTCAATGACTTTTTGTTGTCTGTTTGCTTACTTTACGGTAACAAATGTTCTCCTTTGGTGTTTCTTCTTCCCCTTTTCGTTTAGACGAACATATCTTTTGCTGTAGTTCATTAAGCACATCGGTGGAACTTATACCTCAGTGAAAGATTTCTGAAAACATGTATGTCAATAATTATTGTAGGTATATATGTACATGCCGCCCATTTTGAAAATGTTTAATTAAGAGAATGTTGTATGGAGTTTATTCAATTTTGATTATTGTATTTATGGTCATAGTTCCACTTACAGTTTTGACTTATTAGCTATATAACGAAGACATTTAAGACCTGACATGAGGAATAGATTTCACACGTGCACTATGTTTTCCAGATAATCAGGCCAGCACAAGCATATGATCAATATGGCAAAGAGGGCTACAATGAGAGGTAGAATGAAACACGAGGATGAACTTTGTATTCAGAAACACATACTGGACATCGAGAAGGGAATTGAAGCTAAAGACTT